GATTTTTTTTTCCACAATGCCTTTGCTGTCAATAAAAAATACTTGTGATTTAAATGGGAATGGAGCTTAGTATGTTTTTTAAAAGAAATTAAAAGTACTCTGAAAAATACTGTAAATATTTTGTTAACATATATTTGGTGTGCTGTTCCTCACTGTTAGCGCATATAGTCCTTCATATTTGAGGATTTTTCACTGCTTTGAAAAGAGAAGCAGTCCAGGAGAAGAAATTAAGCCAGGATTTTGGCTGCTCAGCAGTCAATTTAATTAAGATGTAGCTGAACATAGATGATGGCTGTGAGGTAGATAGTGACCAGTATTTTTGAGCCTAGCTCCCGTTTAAAATCTTCCAAAGAAATGGGCTAATGTCCCATGTGGAAGAAACAAAATAGAGAAGCTTCTCATTATTTGGAGGTACATCTCATGGTTTGAGAATGTTGCCCTGTAATGCCTCTAGATCTTTTGGTAGATGATCCTCCTCCTGCAAACACCTCATTCGCAGCAGTGTAGGTCACTGTATCCCTTGCTGGTTTGATGCATTTCTTTCTGTTTCCTAGAGTGAAATCTGAAGCGATTGTTGCCCGACGAGAACCCAAAGAGGAGGTGGAGGATGTAAGCAGCTATCTCTGTACAGAATTGGTATATTACATTACTAAAATGCCTGCGGGGAAAGGGGGTTTATGTACTTATTCTGTATTACTCTGTGTATATGAGTCTTCAGGTGGAGACTGTTCTGCCTTTGTTAAGATGAAGCCAGAGCAGGTCAGCTGCAGATTATCTTATGTTTGGCAATAGCCAAATGATAGGAGATTACCCCTACCTATGTCTTTCAAACCATGGTTTGGCCAAAATAGATGTGTAATACCGCGAGGATACAATGTAAGAAGTGGTTTCTGCCAAATGGTGCTAGACCAGTAACCTGCCCAGCACCTTCCCTTTTTATGTGGTTTTCCCCACTTTTGAATTACAGATAGCCTAATGTGCAGTTGGGATTCGCATAGAGTCTTAGAATAGTCAGGCTTCTCAAAATTGTCTTGTAGTGACTATGAACCTCTAAGTTGTGAGAATATCATGCAGTAACTGGGGTTATAGCAGGGTGAGCTTAGTCTGCTGGATTTAGATAGAAAGGAAAATGTGCAAGTTGTTTTTGTGAGCTGCAGAAGAGAACTGGATCATCTTGAGTTGAGCTGACCGACTATCTGTAAAAGATGAAAAGGATGGTCTTAAATTCCTTTTCATTTACATACTTCCTGTTTTGGCTGGTCATACAGGTTTATTCTAAGTCTGGGAGCCTGAAGAGAAGGTTGTCTAGTTTGTGCTGTTGCAGCTCAGCCAGACTGAGTTTGGATTTCCTCTATCTAGAATCAAACTCAGTGCCACTTCTTAGTAATGAGTTTCCCAAATCCTTAGGATTTCTTTTTAGGCAGGTATTTTCCCCAGCTTATTCCGGTAGCTCTCAAAAGATGGGTATAGAATGTCATTCGTGTTTCTTGCCAACACAAAGCCATGTATCTTCCTTAAAAGACCATGTTATGTCCCCACCCTGGGAACCTAGAGTTGTAGAAATGCAAGGCAGTAGTGTAGGAATGGCCTTGGGAACAGAGAGATTGCAAGGAATTGGGAAATAGAAACTAGCTGTTCTGTCCTTTCTTAACAACCTTCAGGACATGGTATCTGAAAGCTCCCTGTATGACAAAGAGATTATTAAAATCCCATAGTGATCCTTGGATGCAGAAGGGCTCCTGAGTACTAATTTTTGTGTGAGTCTTGCAGTTCCGGAGTCATGTTTCTAGGCTTGCAGGTGGCCACACAAATATTGGAACTGTAGATTTTTCAGGGCTGAATTATTAAAAAGTTTGCTCATATGTGACACTAACTAGTGTCTCTGAACTTGTTGAGCTGGCAGCTTGGGCCTAGTGAACTGTAAAGAGTGTTTCATTTTGCCCTTAGAAATATTTTTTACAAAACTATTACTTATTGACCACTATCAGAACACTTCCTCTGTATGTGAACATTTGGGGCTGTAGCACCAGTTAGCTAGGGAAATAACTGAAACTGGGAATTTCAAACGTGTACTTTTATCCATGCTGCACAGTGGTTAGAGGGAAGCAGCCCTCAGCCATATTCTGAGAATGAGCAGGTGAGTTATGTCACACCAGGTAAAGAGGAGAAGGACTTTCTTTAGTTTTCTGTGCCCTGCAGCTTTATCTGCTTAGTGTGTACTAACAGACTGACTCCATCCTACTCCTGCCGAGGCGACACATAGCATTGTGTTGCTCCCTGCCACTTGTGATTAGATTTGGTACAAAATCTGTTAAATAAGACTGTGGTTTCCAAACTTACTGGACCAATGGACCACTATCAACTCCAAATTCCTTGTAGGCCACCAAAACACCTTATTGATGATAATCTCTGGATAAAGTTTTCAATGCAGAGGTGTTGCTCTATTTTACATGAGTTTGCTGAACATCAAGAGGTCCATGGGTCACAGTTTGAAGATCACTGGTCTAGAATTAGCACCTCACGTGGGGAAGGTAGGGGGTAGTTAAACAGAACAGGAAGAGAACTAACAAATATGTCTCTCTGCTGACTTCCCCAGTACTAACATCAATCCCCTTACATTTTTTTGTTGGCTGAAGCAGTGCTCCTCCCCTCTACAGGACAACATTCCCATAGCTCAGCGTCGCCGCTTCACACGTGTGGAAATGGCCCGGGTTCTGATGGAACGCAATCAATACAAAGAGAGGTTGATGGAGCTCCAGGAGGCTGTAAGGTGGACAGAGATGATCAGGTAAGGCTGGGTGAACAATCCCATTTAGGACAGAACCTGGCCATGTTAAGCCTTGTGGTTGGTGAAGCCCTTATGAAGATACTGGTTTGAGAAATGCTTTAAGTTTTTCTGTACTTGTAGAGGCTCCTCTTGTGATACACAATTCTTTCACTCTTATTCCTGAACTTGAGTTCCAAATCAAGACTAGAGTTGCCATAGTAACTTGAAGAGACTGAACAGTTGTTTATCTTGTTTTTTGTGTGCTAGTTAGGCTAGGAGAAATTGTACTGGGGAGGGTTGCTTTTAATTAGTGAATTCTGGGGTTTGTGATTACCAGGGGGTCATTCTGGTACTGATAACATTAAGGGGCCTTGATAAAACTTGGAATTGAACAAACGTATTTGCACTTAATATGAAAGTTGAAGGAAAAGCCTGCTAGATGTGCTCCCGTTGAAGAAGACTATATGTCACTTCCTCTGCTGTGTTTTGAAATGTTGTTAAATTTAATTTGGGGTTTTGATATAACTTCCTTGATGGAAATGGCCTGCTGGTTGGCATGAATTTGGGTAGAAAATACTGAAATTAACTTGTGTCTGCTGTGTTTGTCCTTAGAGCGTCCCGTGAGCACCCATCCGTCCAGGAGAAAAAGAAGTCCACTATTTGGCAATTGTGAGTCCTTTGGTGGTTTGTTTAAGATTAAGAAAGGGGGAAGTGTTTCCATTTCTATCTTACACATCAACTTCCTCTGGTGTTAACACTAGAAGCATTCTTAGCTGAACCCTTTGACTACATGGGCTTCCTTTGTTGTTTAGTTAAAATCAGCTCTGAACATTCATAGCAATTTGGTTTTACAAACTCAGAAAGATTACAGTCTGAGAACAAATTCCTGAAATGGAGAAATGTGTATAATAAATGAAGTTGGGCAGTTCTCAAGAAGGGCTTAAAGTCCCTGATTTTGTTCCTCTGGCTTCCCCTCCTATGAATCTGTGTTGGATTATCTCCCTTTTCTCTTATTTGTTACCTTTTCCTGTCTCTAGCTTCAGCCGTCTGTTCAGCTCGTCTTCAAGTCCCCCACCAGCAAAGAGGACCTACCCATCGGTGAACATCCACTACAAGTCTCCAACAACGGCAGGATTCAGCCAGCGTCGCAGTCACACCATGTGCCAGATCTCCTCCGGCAGCCGCACTCTTGAATTCTTCCCCGAAGAGTGAGTCGTGTGCTAAGTGCAAAGCCAGATGCCCCAGCAGTTATGCCAGATAGCTGCTGACTTTTTTTACATGAGCTGTTTTCCAGTGGGGGGAAAAAAAAAAGAAGTCCAAGTAGTGTTAATAAGTTTCTGACTCTAGTGTTTATCTTTTTGATTTTTCACTCAGCATTTGCCACACAGATGAGCTCAGCAAACTGGCAGTAACTTTGTGTTCCCAAGCATGTGATTGCCATTGCTTCCACAGGCTTTCTAGGCCATTATGATTCATGTCAGCAGGGACCACAGTAGGCCTCAGAGTTGGCCTCAACCTGAGTTTGGCTCTTGTGTGTGAGGGGGTGAAGAAGGGTTTTGTGGTAGAGTATGACAGTAGCATTGAGATAGAGGAGAAAATATCCAGGTCTGTTGACAAAGAATTTTGGTAAAGATAAAGGTTTTCTCTAGAGTGTGTTTAATTTTATTCCTAAATATGAAGAAAAAGAGCTTACTGCTACTGCAGAGTCCTCTGCCTTTTATACCTCTGATAAAAGTGAAAAAGCTATTTTCTGCTTTACTGGACTTTAGAATGTGTCATGGCATTTTACCGTTATGAAGTGTTACTGTTTAGTTTGTGCTGTTTTTGTGAAAGGACTTTGGAGAATGTGGTGGTAAAGTTTGTAGGAAAGGCAGTGGAATGGCTGGAGAGGTTTACTTTTGAGAGTGAATTTATATTTTATAGATACTCACTGTGCAGTTCAATTCTAGTTACAATTTCAGAGTTATCATGTGGCGTCTGAGTGCTTTCCAATAACGCATTAAATAATGTAACCAACCACCATTAGAAGCTGTTTGTTCTCTCATCCTCTCCCCAGGAGAGGAAGCATGTGCAAGGAACTGTTTTGTTTTAGTGAGGGATTGTGTTTTTGTTTTAAGTAGGTATGTCCATATATATATATATATATATGTGGAGGGGGCTTGTTTTGGCTTGGGTTTTTGCTGATGTTGTTTGTACTTTGGATCTGTGGTATTTTAAAAACCTATTGAGGGCTGGAACTGACAGCACACATCCTTTGTTTATAGTAAAACGTATCCTAAGAGCTCACAAATTGATCTTCTTAGATTTGCCAGTGCAAAGCTGGAGTAATTCTGTTGAAAGCAGTACAATTTGTGCATATTTCCCTAGTCAGCAGAAGAAATCTTAAAATGGACAGAAAAATAAACAGTTGACTAATAAAAAAGGGAAGAAGTCTGAATGCTTTCTTGATGGAGACGTTAGATCAGTCAACTTGAAACGGCTTGTTAAGCAAAAATTGGTATGATCTTATAGAAGGTTGATTCCGTGTTTCTGAAGGGTTCTTGGAATACAGAAATGGAGATGACAGTTGTTCAGGTAACAGGGAATTACAGGTTAGGGTTACCTAGGTACACTACTTAAGGTGTCTCTGTTTATTGTTTTGTTCTGTTTTTTCCCTGTCTCTGATTTTCTACATCTCCTTTCTGCTTGTGCAAGGATGGATTTGTTTTGCTTTGTGTTCTTTGACTTCTTGTCCATTTTTTCTTCTTCCCTGCTGTGGCCACGCATCCTGGACCTCTTGCCTCTGATTCTGAACACAGTTGGAGAAATAACACTGTGGCTTCTCTCCTCAGTGACTGTACCTCCTCAGCACGTCGCGAGCAGAAGCGGGAGCAGTACCGCCAGGTCCGGGAGCACGTGAGGAATGATGATGGGCGACTGCAAGCCTGTGGCTGGAGTCTCCCTGCCAAGTACAAGCAGGTAGGGACCACTCCCCTGAGAGGCTGAGGGAAGAGAATGTGTCATCCTATTTATAGTGACATCAGGGAAGATCTAATTCTGTAGCCTTAGTTGCTAAATATTCCACTTAGAAGTATAATATTCATGTTTTATCTGTATGATAATTGTAGACAGAGATTAAATATATCCTTTTTGTATCTGCACCAAAGTCTATAGAGAGGACATTCTTTTACATGAATGGTGCTGAAAGAACCTAGCCTAAAACAGAGTTAACTCTCTTCATCCAGAGCCCAGTACCTGTTTTTATTTCTTGTGTTATTCTATCTGGACTTGCACATTGGATATTTTATCTGTGCTATGAGAACACTTCCAATCATTTAGAATTATAAAAACAAAAAACCCTCTATGGTGAGCGAGACGTTCTTTCAGGTAGGCTGATCCCATCCCTTTACACACTCTGTTTCACACAACATGTGAGATGAAGCATCAGCTGCCATTGGCATCCCCTCTCTGAAGCTCAGAAGCTTCATTCCAGGCTATTGGTTGCATCTCTGTTGCAGTAGCCTTGTGTGTAGTCTCTTGTACTGTCTTTCCCTTCTTCTCTTACCCCACAGCTGAGTCCCAATGGTGGCCAGGAAGACACTCGCATGAAGAACGTCCCCGTGCCTGTATATTGTCGTCCACTAGTAGAGAAGGACCCAACCATGAAGGTATGTTGTCTCCACATTCCATTCCAATGCGGAAGGAGGGCATGGAAAATGTGAGCAATAGTCTGTTCAGTATTTCTCCATATCATTTTGGACAAATCCAGTATGTAGTGATAATATAATACTATGTCCAGCATTCTCCTAAAAAGCTACCTGGGTAATAGCTGGCTGAATTTATTTGTCAGGAGATAGGTAGTGTGCTTCTAATCAATTCACTATGTAGGGATCTAAACAAGCAGATTTCCTTTTGGAGGAGTTTATTTTTTTGCTGGCTTAGCTCCTTGAATTGTGCTCTAGGATCTAACAAGTCTAGGCAAAGAGGGAAGTGCAGGGAGGCAGAACAGTGCAAGGCTGGGAGAGGAGAAGCGACTAGGAAAGAGTAGCATCAGACCCTTCTGGGTTCATCCTCTGCTAGGCTATAACACCCAGATACCCACTCTAAGAGCTGTTTCTTTATTTCCAACCTGTACTAAATATGTTTTACTGAGAGGGGAAATGTTGGTCAGACCCCTAGGGAACAATCCCTACTTTCTTCTCTTGAAAATCTCTGGTTTGTGCATCTAGTTTATGTCGTGTTAAAGACTGACAGAAAAGACATATATTTAACACTTTTTCAGTGGAGCTCCTTTTCTTTTCCCTCTGTCAAAACTGACAATTCTTCTAGTAGAAATCAACAAAATCTATTGTTACAAACCTAAATTTTGTAAGTGTTTAGTATGTGCATACAGTTCTTTGTAAAAGTGTCAAAATTTCATAAGGTCCTGGAGTCTCCAGCATTCTTAAATTAAGATTTCTGTTTCTTACTTAGCTGTGGTGTGCAGCTGGAGTCAATCTCATGGGATGGAGACCTTTTGAGCAGGAATCTGGGAATGGACAGAAACTGGAACCTGGGCGTGATCCTCTCACCTGTGACCGAGAAGTAGAAGGAGAGAACAACAAGAGCAATCATACATCTCCTGAAAAGAAAAAGGTGAGAAAAGGAAGCTGATTTTTTTCACCACTGATTTTTAATCTGCCTCCCGTCTTGGTAGCTTGGTAGGATTCACTGGGTTAAATTTTTCCTGGAGTTACAGCTGTTTCAATATTCCTGAGGCATCGTCCTGTGGAGAGGGTTTGTGGTGTCCTGGCTCTGACAGTAACTCTGTGTGGTCTGGAATAAGTCTTCTCTTATAAAATATTTCAAGTTCTGCTTTTGAAACACATTTAGAGTTTGGAAAAACTTCCTATGATAAGGGCAGTTAATGAAGTTGCTAGGAAGCTTCTGAAATCCTCATCTCTGGAAATTAAAAAAAAAAATGGGGGGGGCGGGAGGGGAGGGGAGAGGAGAAGCTTTATTAAAAAGGACACAGATCTAGTATAGTCCATTAGTCCATTTGATTCAGGAATCTCTTGAGATTTTTTCCAGCTCTGTTTTTTAAGGTAGTCTTAAATTCTTAAGATAGTCTTAAATTATTTTTAAGAACCAAGCTGTAACTTGCAGATGATAATTTGATTTTCTATCCTTTTGGTTTATGTTTTTTTTCATAGCTGTATCATAATGTTGTCTTACGGTGTTTCTGTAATTAGCTTGCTTAGTCTGTTAGTTTGTGTATCCTAGATCCATGGTATTCAATCTGAAACACGTGCTCTGACACATTAATGAGACAATTTAGAAGAAAAACTAATGACAACACCCCCTTGGCTGGGGTTCCAAATACAAGTGCAGTGACGTGAAGGAAATTTGCATTGCTTGTATTGTTTATTTTCTCAGCTGGGAGGAGATTTTGGCTCTCCAGAGCTGGCAGTGTGGTCTCTACATACACAAATGTTGTCGAGCATTGTTTGGCTTACTCTGATCTGAGAGGAGCACTGATTCTTCTGTGTGTTTGCTCTCCTGAAGGCAAAGGAGCTTCATGAAATGGATGCCACATCCAGTCGTGTCTGGATCCTCACCAGTACCCTGTCAACAAGTAAAGTTGTAATCATTGATGCCAATCAGCCTGGTACAGTGGTGGACCAGTTCACAGTCTGCAATGCTCACGTGCTCTGCATCTCCAGCATCCCTGGTAAGTAGGGCCCAGACACTGGCTCCTATCTGCCCAGGGTCACGTACTCCTTTGAGGAGTCACAAATAGTGTCCTTACTTCAGAACTAACCCATAGAAGTTGCTTGAGTAATGTCCCTCAAGACCATAACGCAGATCTTGCCTTCTCCTAGGGCTATTCTGTGGAGATCTTGATGAGCATTTAGTAAGTGGTTCCTTCGGCACATGCAGGATGGCTCTTGGGAACAAGCCTTGCCCAGGTTTGGGAGGGCTCTCTAACTGCCCTGCATGTTGATGGCTAGGATGAGGGCACTTGCCATGGTGCTGGTGGATGCTGTGGTGCCTCCCTGGGGCTACTGAGCTCCAAGGATCAGCATCTTCCATCTGTGTGGCTACCTCAGGAGTACTGCTACATTTAAATTAGCAGTGACTGCTAGATTTATGGGAGAATTTGTTCTTTGCCCTTCAGCGGCCAGTGAGAGTGATTATCCTCCAGGCGAGATCTTTTTGGAGGGAGATGTTAATCCTGAAGAGTCGTCTGGAACAGATGGTGTCTTGGCAGGAATCACTCTGGTGGGCTGTGCGACCCGTTGCAATGTGCCACGAAGCAACTGCTCCTCGCGTGGTGACACGCCTGTGCTGGACAAGGGACAGAGTGAGTCTCTGGACATAAAATTTAACAGTAGTCCAGTTTTAGCTCATCCCTTACGAGCTTGTAGTCTTACAGCTGCACCTTCCTGACCCCAACTTAACAACTTGGTGAACCTCAATTTAACTCCATACAAGAAGGGCAAAGCCCCTTTGATACTTTTCCCTTTAGAGCCCCTCTTTCCTCTGAGTGATGGATCCTGCACCTAGGCTGTGGTGAAGCGGAGTATTTTGGACAGGTGATAAGTGCTTGCCCCGCTACATTTGCTTCTGTTCTCAATTCTTTCTTCTCTGGGACATATCTTGTTGTTAAGTCAATTAAACCTACATGAAAAAGTAAATTATGTTCTTGTTGGTTAATTACTGTAGTGACAACTTCAGTGAACTTCTGGTGCTTTGCTAGTTGTAGATTGTGCCCGACTTCAAAATACCCTGTATTTTCCTTAGAGCAGAAAAGACTTTGGATAAATTGCTGTCTAATGCAAGTTCAGGGCTTGATTGTCTTGGACAAGGAAGGATAGGTTAAAAATTGAAAGCCAGGTTTCTGTATAGCTAACTTCCACCTCAGTCTTCAGCCTACTGTACATCTTGCAACGTGTGTCTTTTTCAGGTGAGGTGGCTGCTGTCTGCAATGGGAAGATCAACCAGTCCCAGTCTACTGAGGAAGCGACAGAAGCTACCGAGATACCAGAGAATGGTACAAGTGAGACCGAATCTGCTCAGGTCCAGCCTGGGCCGCTCACAGAGCATGTGTTTACAGATCCAGTCCCTCCTCAGGCACCTCCTAGGCAGAACAGGTAGGCTGCCCATGTGTCACCTCAGCTATTTATCTGCTGTTTGCATAAGGTGTAAGCAAGGAGAACCAGCTTGACTTCCTCAGTTTCACAAAGTGCCAATTCTTTCCATGTTTGTGCCCACAGAGTATTACAGATGGAATGATAGGGAGAGGAAGAAATTAAATGAAAATAAACATGGTTTAGCCTGCAGCAGTCTGTGTTGCAGCTTTTAAAAAGCAAATATTTGATCTTGCAAAGTGAATTTAGAGAATTTTGCTGTTGAAATAGATCCTGTCAAATACACTGCATTTAATGTTCCTACCAGAGGAGCTCATCACTTCCTTATAAACTTAGTCTACTAGTACCTATAATATGTTGTAAACGTAATGAGAAAACTCAAAAATTCTTATGCAAAAGACTGAAGTGTTGAACTGAAGAGCTGGGAGCACCAACATAGTGAGTTGGAAATCTTGGATAGATATTGCTTTTAGAAAAGTGAATGCTATACATTAATCCCACATTCTTTGGGGTTGGAAATGAACAGAGAAAATACTGCTTATATGATGCTACTGCTAAACACTTTTTGGTTATATAACTATGAAGTACTTTTTAATTGTTTTGTGGGGGAAGAATAAATTGCAAATTGCAGATTCAGGAGTCAAGCAATCAAAAAAGACTGAAGAGAAGCCATCTGTATGTACAGTGTCTGTATCTATTTGCACAGTGCAGACTGAGCATAAATGGGAATTCTTTTCTCTGCTATTAATAAAAATGTTCTCTCTCCAGTGAGAACGGGCAGCAGAAGACAGAGTCAAGCACAGGGTCAACAGATCAGGAATTGAACGGGGATGCTGCTGGGACTTGCACCAGTGCTGCCCCCACCATGTGGCTGGGAGCACAAAATGGCTGGTAGGTGCCCCAGGAGCTGGCAGAACTCTGTCATCTTGCATGGTCCTTCAGGATCTACTTTCCAAGTCCTCTAGTTCATTTTATGTTTCTGGAGTTAGGAAAGCATTCACTCATCAGTTATCATTGTTTTGAGCGCTTAGCTCATCTTGGGCACTGTGATGTAATGTCACTCTGTACATTCTTTTCTTACCAGAAAAAAGGAACGTAGTTGACCTCTGTCAGGCAGAAGGTGTGGGGCCTTGCTGCTAACTCTCTGATTTGTCTTTGCAGGCTTTATGTGCATTCTGCTGTATCCAACTGGAAGAAGTGTCTGCACTCAATAAAGCTGAAGGATTCTGTACTCAGCCTAGTGTAAGTGTGCACACTTGGGGACACCGGAGGGTGACACTTAGTGCCTGCGTGATCACTATTTAGTGAGGGTGGCCCTTCTGTCAATCTTTTTTTTTTTTTTTTTTTTTCCTTGCCCTTCTGAGGCGCACTGGGAAGCCTCATCTTGAACAGCTTTCTCAGTTGCAGACCTGACCTAGTTCAGTGAATAAGGTACTAAATGAGATTAGCAATTCTGGGAGAAAAAAAGTGGGAAAGAGAAAGTCAAATTTCACAAGGATGTAAGTTAGGTGGTATTTGTTGAAATTGATGGAGTTTATAGTGTGAAGGAGAATTTAAGTTTAACAAGAAACTGATGGATTATGTTTATACTACACAGAAGATAAAAAGTATAAATTTTAGGTCCTTCTAAGGGTGCAAGGAAGGATATTTCTTCAAGGGTCAAACTGAATAGGAATTGTTATGAAAACCTAAAGGTGTTTTGCATGGATGTCAGGATATGTTAAGTATTTACTTTTCTGTGATTTCAGACACGTGAAAGGAAGGGTCCTTGTTGCGCTGGCAGATGGAACACTAGCCATATTCCACCGAGGAGAGGGTAAGAGAACTCGGAGAAAAGCAAGCTTGGCAGTAAGTGTGACAAACTATACTGCTTTGAGGAAGAAAGGTGCCAGCTTGCCTGAACACAGATACATGCTTAAATAAGTAGCTATTATACAGACATAGGCATATTTTTACACCATTTCATGAGACTTCCTAGACAAAAATTGGTGTTCATGTACTTTGTAGTATAGGCAGAGTGACTATACAACATTTCTAGGAAGTATTTGCCAGGAAACAAATGTGCTGCACAGTTTGATACATTTGGGCTGTGTGGATGGTACTGTGCAATCACAGATCACAGGTTAAATGCATGCAGACAACTCAGATGTATGGTACCTGAGCAGATCATCTGTGCAGTGCAAATGAAATAGGCCCATGACTTCCCAGACAAGTTGAAGGCTCTATTAGTGATGGAATCGATCTGTGGATATGCAACAGACATAGGTAAGTTTCCACAGAGTCATCTTCAGACTGTCTTTTTTTATTCCCCTGTTGGTTTTGTTGTGATGGTTAGGGAAACCTGTTTGTTTTATTACAACATAAAGGATGTTTAAATTAGCCTTATTTGGAGAGCTTTCAGCCCACCAAACTAATCTATATCGTCATGAGTTTGGTAAGTACAAGGCATTGCCCCAGGTAGCATTATGGATTCAGTGAAAATTCAGAGATAGAGGCAAAACGGACTTGAGTATTAGCTGAGCATGTATAATTTAGTATAAGATAGATGATTCTGTTGTATATTGGCATCTCATGGAAGATCCAGTGCATCTTTCCCCAACATGTTTTTTGCCTTAGATGGTCAGTGGGATCTCAGCAATTACCACCTAATGGACCTGGGTCACACTCACCATTCCATCCGCTGCATGGCTGTTGTGTATGACAGAGTCTGGTGTGGCTACAAGAACAAAATCCACGTCATCCAACCTAGGACGATGCAGATTGAGGTAAGAGAACAACTGCACAAAACGGAGCATATGTCTAGGTAACTGTAGACCGTTCATGAACTCACATTTATTCACCTTTTGGCGTTTCAGAAATCCTTCGATGCACACCCTCGTCGGGAGAGCCAAGTGCGACAGCTGGCATGGATTGGAGATGGAGTCTGGGTTTCTATCCGCCTGGATTCCACCCTGAGGCTTTACCATGCCCACAGCCATCAACATCTGCAGGATGTGGACATCGAACCGTATGTCAGCAAGATGCTAGGTGAGGCTGTAGTGATTGTCAGTAAATGGCCTCTTTCTTGCTGTGACCAGACGGGTGTCAATATTCATTAGCAGGCATTGCCCTGAGTCACATGTAACTGACTCCAATTCTTGTGCATCCTTTCTAGGCACTGGAAAGCTGGGCTTCTCCTTTGTACGGATTACAGCTCTGCTCATTGCTGGCAACCGCCTCTGGGTAGGGACAGGGAACGGTGTTGTCATCTCCATCCCGTTGACAGAGAGTAAGTGGCATTTATCAGAGATTCTTCTGTGATCTCCCAAATAACAATGCTTGTTATTTATGCAGGATGGCAGATGGCTCTGGTTTTCTGGATACTTTTCCTCTGAACCTGTGATATTTGGATCATAGCAGTATTTGGAGAGTCCTGACAACGACTGACCTCAAGCTTGGTTTAACACTTCCTTGATTATGGGATTAAACATAGTGTTGAACAGATTCAACCTGCACCTGCCTAAAGCCAAATAGATAATTGTTACTGTCCCTTTCAGTTTGACCAGTCCCTTTCAGTTCAGCTGAAGCCGTTTCTTCCTCAGGGGACCATTCATACCTCTACTATCCATAAAGTCTTCTCTTGAGTGTAACCTTGACAGGGCAAACGGATGTGAACTGACTCTAGAGCTGCTGGAGAACAGGAGAAACAAAACAGAGAGACTTGTTCAAAAGGAGGCTATGAGATGAGAAATCACTGGCAAGACCTCTGGGGCAATTTGCATTGGTGTAGACATATAAACATCCCTGTGACAGTATTTTCCAGATACTGAAATTAGGAAAGTTTCATTGAGTCAAATTTTGACCCAGTTGTTACCAGTCAAACAGAAATCAGTATCGAGCTAAATCTGACCTGGTGAGGAGACCTATCAGTGGTAGCTGACAGGCAAATTTCTACTGCAGGGAGGTTAGTTGAAGTTCTCGGTAATCTTGTTCTGAGACCAGGTCAGAATTGAGCTTTCTTTTGCAGAAGGTCTGTTTCATAGTTTAATGAGGTATGGTTTCAAGCAGAGAAGCAAATGAGTGCTGTATAAAAGGATCAAATTTGTGCTAGTTCTCCTGGAAGTGGGCACTCAGTTTGCCTCCTCTCCATGGAGCTGGAGATCACCAAGGCCAACATGAGGAAGACAGTGACGCTGTCCCCTCTGTGCACTGTAATCTCAGTATCTCACTTCTGAATCTGTTTTAATCCCAGTCTTTCTTGGGGCTGCTGTCATAATTCTGAGTTATGCTTGTTCCCTGCTGTAAACCACTTACATTATCCTTTGGGGCTTCTGTGAAAGTGTGGTTGGGATACAGCTAGCTTTCACTAGGAATTTTAGCAATGGATCTTTGTGATCCCTTCCTGCCTCAGATACTGCATCTGTCCTTGTAAGATAAGCGTAAGATGAGCAAGAGTAGTGCGGGTATAAACTGATCCTGAACCTATAGCTCCTGTTACAGTTTTGCTAGGTTTATACATTTCTGTTGCTCCCTGAATTTTCTCCCAGTAATCACCTTTTTCTTCTCTCCCATCCTGCCTATTTCTTCCCGTGCCCCACTGTGTTCCCACTCCTTGCCTGTGCCTAGCTGTAGTCCTCCACCGAGGCCAACTCCTTGGGCTCCGGGGTAAGTCCATTGCCTCCTTCCTTCAGCTCTCACTCCTTTCGCACCCATTGACCTTTGAAATCACGTTCCCGCCCTTCCATTTGGTTCTCTCCAGCCATTTCCCTTGTCACTCTCTCATTTTAAGTTGCAGAAGAGCGACCAGTTGCAAGAGCGAATATATCCTCAATCTCCATGGCTAAAAACATTTGCATCCATCTCACCAGCCATCACATCTATTTTGTGTAACCAGAGTACTTGATTCTTCCTCAGTAGTTCCCTTATTTTGGTAGCACAGGTTTTGGAGGGGGAGTAGCTCTACCTGTGCCATAAAGTTTTCTTCAGTCAGCTATTTCCAGGGCTAGACTGCTCACTGGTTCTTTCAAGGGTGCTTTTCCCATTAGTTTCCAGGCCAGTGGCAGTAGGTGCTGTGGTACTTCCCAGCTGTGGATAATCAACCAAGACTTTATACAAGAAGGACTTCTTCGAAAAATGTTACAAATTGCTTGTTTTTGTGCCAGTTAGGCACAGGATTGGAGTTCACTGTTCAGATTTATGCTTAGACTTACCCCAACCTCTCAAAAGTCAGGTACTTTTTCTCACTGAAAGACATTTCTGTGCCTGCCCAGGACTGTTGTCAGCATATTTCTCCTCCATTTAAAGCATCTGATGCTGGGTCACTGTTAGAAGCAAGATACTGAGGTAGGAGACCAAACTACGAGTTCCAGCCCTGCCTTACAGTCAGATGAGAACATCCAAGTGCAGCTCCTCGCAGCAAACCCAGGCACAAAAGTGCAGAAAGCTTTTGTCTTGGGGGATCTTCCACTTGCACACATTGACTCTCACTCTCCTATCCAAATATCTGTGTGTTGTCTCAGCATCCGGGCTTGAGCCTGCTAAGTCAGTCGTCTTTGTTTCTGAGGCCCGTAGTAACTGAAATCCAGCCCATGTCAAAATAAAGAATTACTGTCAGTTAAGCAAGCAATTTGGTTCTCTTTAGAAATAAACAAAAAGTGTAGGCCTTATAATTTTAGTAGTATTTTTCTTTTACTAATGTGGGTGCATGTGAAAGGAAACACTTCTCTCTGTTGCCTGCGAGTGGAAACACTGATACTGTCAGTGTCTGGATATGATTGGTGTGGGCCCCTGAGCTCAGCCTGAAATCCTTGGAAGTTGTGGATGGTGAACATCTTTCAGGAGATGTTCCTTGCGTGAGAGCTCATCTTCTGGTATCAGGACTAAATCGAGGAAAGGCCACAGCTCCATCCCCAGCTGTAGAGTTTACTGAGGAGAGAGGCTTTCCTCAGCCACAGAAGTCTGCATGCTGATAGTTTGGCATAGCAAAGGACTTGGAAACTGAGCAAGTTTACTGATTGAGAAAAATAGCAGTAATTTGTCAAGAGTAGGAAGAACAAAAGCCCTTATTGTGTCATAGGAGCAGCAAACACTTCTGGTTACCCTGCAAAGTATGAAAGACCAAGGCTGATACCTAGGACAGTAAACAGTTTCTGAAGGTTGGATGGAATTGCTGCCACAAGGGACATTTATTGGGACAACCTAGAGACTTTGTCTCTGGTGTGCTTTAGGGTTGTTCTTACCACCTCCAGGGATGTGTATCTCATTAGTAGCCAAATACTAAATTTGATGAGAAATCTAGTTTGTTTTCATGAGTGGGTGTTACCCAACCCATCAGGGAGATGGACTGTGTAGTCAAGTGTTGTTTTCTGTATCACATTCCTTACACAGGACCTTTAAAGACCTGCGGCTTTAAAGCTTTTCCTTCATGTCTCATAAATGTTCTCTTTGATCTGTAAACGGGACCAAAATTGTCACAATGTTCCTTCTCCTTGTTCTCAGCCAACAAAACCTCACCCACCTCTGGAGAGGGCAGCCGCTCTGGTGGAGTCATCCACGTGTACGGCGATGACAACAGCGACAAATCTGCCAGCAGTTTCATTCCATATTGCTCCATGGCTCAGGCACAGCTCTGTTTCCATGGCCACCGTGATGCTGTCAAATTCTTCGTTTCAGTGCCTGGTAAGGATGAGCACATCCCTTCCTCGTACAGAGTCCTCTGCTGTGGTCTGTTCAGGGGCAGGAGCTGCTCGGCAGCAAAGGGCTGTCAGCATCATTTTGATGTCCTGGTAGTTTAGGCTGTAATAGGTTCCACCAGCAGAAGGGATTGACCTGTCCAGTGGAGTCTGTGTAATTGTGCTAAGTGTGTGGGACTCGGGCACAGACACTGACTGCAGCTCCCTCCTGTTCCAGGCAACGTTCTAGCGACGCTGAACGGGAGCGTGTTGGATAGCCCCTCGGAGAACCCCAGTACCGCGGCCACCGAGAGCGAGGGGCAGAAGCTCAAGAACGTCCTGGTGCTGAGCGGAGGGGAAGGCTACATCGACTTCCGCATCGGTGAGCGCCTGTGCTGGGGCGGCCGGGCAGGACGGGGCGCCCGGCCACGGCGCTGGAGAGGGTGAACGTGGCTGCGGGGGAGCAGCCTGCGAAGGGAGGCCGCCTGCTTCTGCGCCCTGCTGCCAGGGCAGGCAGCGGGTACCTCCTTGTGCAACATAAGGCTGCCAAGCTCTGCCCCTGTCTGTGCTTGCGCTGCCACACAGGCTGCAATAACGGCTCTGAAGAGAATAAAATGCTGTACTAACAGCTCCAAACACTGGTGTCCCTTGTGGCACTCTAGGTCATTCTGTGTCATACACCTTGGCTTCCTCAAACTGAAGAGTGATAGGCTTCCCTGCTCCTGGAGGCAGTTTGTCCAATTTATACAGGCTTGCTTGGGAAGAGCACCCTGAGGTTATAAAGCTTCTCCAGGCATCAAGGGAGGTTTCAGCTGGTGCTGTTTGTGATGAGGCTGCAGCGGTCATGCAGCAGGGGTACTAGCCTCTTGTGAAGGACTCCAGGGCAGTGTAACTTTATGTTTTCCTTCCTGCTTCTTTACTCTGTTTTCTCTCTTCAGGGGATGGAGAAGATGATGAGACAGAAGAGAATGCAGGAGATGCCACCCAGGTGAAGCCAGTACTTTCCAAGGCTGAAAGGAGCCACATTATCGTGTGGCAAGTATCATATATCCCTGAGTGAGAAATTTTCCTTTCCTACCAATGTAAGTCTCCCTCCTCCCACCTGAATGCCAAGATGTACATACAGAACTCCTGCATTATACCTACTGCTGGAAACCGACCCCAGACAACTGCAACAGCTCCTGCCTTGGACTGTGACCCCCTTCTAACCTCTGAACTTGCAGCTTTCATCTTGGGCCCGTGCTCTTTCTGCGTGGTTGGATTATTGTTCTGCTCTGGAGCTGGCATCTACAAGGAGAGAAATGGCAGCTCATGGATGAAGTGAAGCTTGGAGCCAGCACGGTGCAAGCCCTGTGCCCAGGGCCCGGGAGCTGGGTAGGTGGTGCGGGTTCTCCAGCAGGTTGCCTCACTCCCACCTGCATGAGAAGCAGTGCGTCACCCCAGCAGCCCCACCAAAGCAGCAACGGTGAACACAACTCTCCAGCACCTCAGAGGAAACCCCTTCTACTTCACCAGTGGAATTTCCACCCTGCCCACTCTCCACAGGGTACACGAAAGCACAGGATAACATCCCAAAGACTGAGAGCAGCCAGGACCAAGCCAGGAATCTTCAACAGAAAGGAGTGTCAAGGTTTTGGATTTACTTTTGCTGTTTGTCTGGAGAGGGTAACAGTGTCGTAAACAGTTACCGTGGGGAACACCTTCTTTGTACGTACAAATGGAAGGTCTCCCTCTGCTGCTGCTGCTGTTGTCTTAGCAGGACTGTTCTGGATGACTGTGGCCAGGGAGGGCTGTGCAGTAGGGTCAGATGGAAGATGGGTGTTCTATGGCAGAGGACATAGGGGCTTTGGAATCTGCAGTGGCAAAAGGCTGCTGGAACCTTGTTAGTTAGAGAACAGAAAAGTCAGCAACTCCCCCTTACAAAAATGTCAGGTAGGAAAAGGCTCTTGAGTTCATTCTTTTTGTGAATCTGAAAAGTTCAGTGATAAAGCTGGCTCTGTACAGTGTTTGAGGGCTTTTAAAATACAGATGAGTACAGAATACATTGATGAGCTGTGTGTTAACTCAGTGAAGTCACCTTGACTCATGAGGATGTGTCCCGTTCTGGGAGCTGCTGGTGTTCAGCACAGAGGGGATGTCTCCCCCTCCACACCATAGCAGTGAGGTTAGGAAGAACTGTGTGGGTGCAGTCAAGGTAGAGAAGGGCTGTGTTGTGCCGGAGGCCGCACAGAGGCGTGAGGCCAGATCCCCTGGCCTCTCTGCCTAACTTGACAAGCACTGACTGGCCTTGCTGCTGAACAGGGCTAAAGCTGGAAGTGTCTGACTCCCAAAAAGGATGATGATCCCCGAAGGAAACACTGACTGCCCTACTTGGGCAAGCAGCACTGTGTGATTGCAGGACCCTGTCCTGCTCGTAGAAGCAGCAAGAAGTGGGGCCAGCAAGAGCAGTTTTAGACTAGAGTGCTAGCTCCAGATACAGAGGTAACCGTTTGTCCAACACATATTCCCTTCCTTTCTGAGGGTGGAAACAGCCCTGTCTCCAGAAGGAGAAGTCCTGCTTCCCTGGAGCGCTCCCTTGGGATGTGCAGGATGAGAGCGGGGAGCTGTTGTTAGCAGTGGATTTAGGGAGGCTGGTGGTTGTTTTTCCCTGAGCTGAGCAGAAGTCTGGGGCTCACTGAGACATCCAAGTGCCAGCCGGGCACGGCAGTGTCCAGGTTTAGCAGAGCTGACGTGTTTTTCAGGTCTGCAGTTCAGAGAAAAGCTGGGGCACCTGCGCTGCCTCCAAGAGACAAGGGTGTGTGCCCGGAGAACAGAGGCTTCAGCCACCAAATTCACAGGGGCCGTGTTGCTGTCGCTGCCTGTGGGCAGGGCTGGCTCAAACACGCACTTACTCCTCGAGAAGAGAGAGCAGGAGACAGCAGGATGGGCTTCCTCCAGCCACCACCACAGCAGGCTCTGGGGCTGCCGTTCGCCTGGGGGATTTTGTGTGCAGTGGGGAGCTCCAGCTGCTGCCACCACTTCCCTGAAATGCTTTCTGCTAGGATGGGTCCTTGAGTTGCAGCACAAAGTGCATAAAGGCTAACAAGAAAGTAGACAGTTAGGCAGCAGATACCACAAACATCTAACAGTTCATGCCAAGTAAACTTTCTAATTTGAACTAATTTAAGGGAGAAAAAAGCGCTAGTTGCTGCCCTTTTGTAGCTCTATAGAACTTTCCATACGAAAACACAGAAGTGCCACAGTTACCTCTTGCTGTTTGTTCTGTATCTGGTTTTAGCAGTCAGGATGACACTGCTGGTCACCTGTTACCCACCAGCCCCATGGGACATAAGGAGGGGCCTCTATCAACAGGTTCCTTGCCAGTTTGATGCTTATTTTCCTCCAAGAGAAGCACATGTTTAAAAGGGGATGGCTACAGCTAAGTAAAACCAGCTGCTGCTGTCACATTCCTCAGCATTTGGTGGCTACTGGGCAGCAAGGTGAAGAGCTGACTGGCTTCAACACACTTCCCTGTCATATCTCCACTGTGATGTATGTAAAGTATCTTGTATGTTATAAAAGGATTTTAAAAAGTGTCTTAAGGCCTGTAAACTCCGCTGTTCGGTCAGAAGATGGCATTCTGTAAAGAGACTGCTGTATGAATACGTTCCCATGCTTCGTCCCCTATGCTATCAAACAATGAACCATATCTGTTCTGTATGTAATAAACGTGTTAACATCAGCGAGCGCCAGCGTGCTGTGTTCCGGGCACCGGCCTTCCTGCCCAGCCCGCAGCGAGGCTTTTAGAAGGGTTGGCCTGGCAGGGAGCCCCAGTGGTCACTATTTAGCTACTGGCTGCCTGCAGCTGTCCCTGCAGGTGGTGGCGGGGTCCTCTTCAGCTGAGGCCCCAAGTTCAGCAGCCGAGTCTCTGCTTCCGGAGCTCGAGTTGCCGACGTCCCCTCAATACAAGGTGCTATGTGACGGGGCGCCTGGGGTCAGTGACACTCAGCAATCCTGCCTTCAGGGGGCCGGGTCCCTCCACCTGTTTGGTCATCCTAGTCCTGGTAGCATTTGTATGAGTTCATACCTGTTGTATAGGAGTTAATTAACTCAAGGAATGTTCGCAGCAATAATATGGAAGGAGCAAGAGGAAAGTAGTGAAAATGATTGTGAATAAGGCTATGAATAGCAGCGTTGCCAGTTGTCTGGCTTTAAAGTTGCAGAAAGCAGGTTCCCTTGCCATTAGCTTCCTAAATGATTTTAATGTCTTGACAAGCCGTGGCTGCTTCCTCATTAGCTGCTTTGCCTGTGGCTCCCTAGGGCACTTGAGAATTGCAGTTAGCAGCACACTACAGGGTCGATTGAAATGTGTTATTCAGTGCAGCATTGAGGACTGCTCAGCTTGCATTGCTCAAGGAGTCTCAGGGCTTGGTGCCAAGAGTCTACAGGAACGAGAGCCAAGGTGGGACCTGCTGCCCTGACCAGCCCCACCTGCCCCCAGGAGCAGAGATGGGGGCACCAAGAGGCAGCTGAGCTCCCTCTTACAGGGCTTGGTTTCCACCAGGCCGCTGGTGCATGAGGCTGCAGCTGCAGCCCCAGGGATCATCAGGGATCCACCTTTTGTCCCTACTAGCTGGAAGAGGCCCCAGGCCCCCAGAAGGAGCATCTCTACCAGTGCAATAACTAGGGTGGGCTGGACTTGAGCAGGCGTAGTACCCACCATTCCCCGTCACCCAGGCTCCCACCTGGGAAGTCTCACACACAAAAGAGCACAGGAGAAGAAAGAGGCTTTATTGGCACTGCTGCTTTACATTTGCCTTTTTGCTCCACAAGGAGCATCAACTGAGTGCCACAGCAGCACAGCTGTGAAGCTGAGGGCGCCTTTGCCTCTGTATCTCCTGTCTGTGACCCTGGGTGATTTGGGCTTCTATGATTTAACCCCACTCAGGGTGGTAGTGGTTCCCCTATAAAGCCACTATATAGTATAGTAACATAAGGAAAATCCCATCCATAACTGCTTCCATTAAAGAAGTTGCATGTAGATGTATTAGAAATATATTCTCAGTCCGATGCAGCTGAGGTGAAAAGCCAGTCTCAAGCACAGGGTCATGTTAGTGAGCACTGTGCTGGCAGTATTTTCTTTCTCAGCTTTTTGGCAGTTAGGAAAAATCCCATTTTGTCTGGTGATTTTTGTATTTCCTATTCTGTTAACAAGTCCACTGAACACAGGTCAGTCTTCTACCATCATTTGCCTTTGGTTTCCAGGTATGCAATTTGCTCACTCGGGCTACAGTCTGAGGAGACACCGTGCAGAAATCTCCCCCTATGCTCTGGGGTAGCAATGACACAAGTAAGCGTCACTGTGACCAACCCAACAGCAACTCCAGGAGCTGCACTAAGGAATTACATTTTTGTAATGACACGGCATTGAAACGAGTGGTAGTTTGCTGCTGGCTTCAAATAGTAAGAGCTGATCCTACCCACTTCACATCACTAGAATTAAAGTTTCTCTCCTCTCCTGCTGGCCCTCTCTGGGAATAAAGCTTCCTACCCAAAGTCAAGTTGTGTTCCTCCTATGTCACTTACTGCTGTATAACTTGGGTGAATCTCCACAAGTTCTCCACTTTGACCTCAACCAACCATCCTGATGATCTCCATGCGCTGAGAGCAGGGAAAGCAGGAGAGAAAAATCAAGCTATTTTCTTAGAAATGTGCTACAGATGTAAGAACTGATTTATTCTGCTAGAGAAACAGCTCTGAGAAATAAGGCAAATCCTTATTTGCTTTCAGCTTTCTGTGATTTATATAGGGAACTGTGCTCCACGGAATTGTAGCTGAATGACAGGAGCTATGAGTTTAGTGAATATACAGAGAACCTACAAGGTCCCTCTGGTGACAGACTGAAGTTATATATTAAAAAAAAACCCTCCATGTATCCATACCCTTTCAGATGAGGTCACTGTACATTCTTGAGAGAAAGTGAGGTGAGAAAAGCTGGGTGCACCATAGCCTGGTGGGCAGATGTGCCTTCTGGAAGAAGTTGACGTGCTTCTAACACCCAGCAAGAGCACGGGGGGGAGCTCGGATCATACAACTCTTTATACTGGTGTCCCTTTAGCTTTCTGCTTCGAGACCTGAGGGCGAGAAGCTGTGACCTTCTCCAGATCGAGCATCGGCTCCTCTGTGATTGGTTTTCCCTCTTTCTGCCACTGAGCAAGGATCATGGCTCGGAGCAGAGGCGGGTACGGAAGGTACCGAATGGTCTCTTCTGGCACTGGGGTGAATTTCTTGAAGGCCTCCTCCTCGTGCTTGGGCACCATTCGCCAGTCATGGTACATGACTTTGTCAATCTCTCTCACCTCTTCTTCGGTTTTGCCTGAGTAAAAGAAGATGTGGACAACGCAATCAAGAACAAATTCCCTCTGGGGAATGCAGCAAGTGAAGGCTCTCCAGCATCACTGCTGCTATAACTGGCAGTAGATTTTGAAAGGATCACACAGTATTTTCACTGCTACAAGTGCACGATCTCACTTCTGCCCATGGAAATTAAAACAGAAACAGATTGAGAAGACTATAAGCAAGCTGCTCTAATTCTATGGTTGATTTCCTCTTTTAATTTAAAAAGTCACTTCATCTCTCACTGATTTAGTTTCTGTAGGCAAAGAATAAAAGTAATTTCTCTCTACAATAATGAATGCTTATAGGAAGCTTAATGAAATATATATATATAAAACTTTGAATGAAAAATGTTTCAAGAACTCTACTAATAACATATATCTAGTATTAAGCAAATATTAATTAGACTTTTAAAAAGGCAAATTCCCTCATCTATGTTCAAGGGCATGCAATTCCAGTTTACTTGCCAACATTGCTGATCATTTTACCTGGGTATCCTTATGCTTTCACTCTATGTCTTACCTGTGAAGTTTAAGGATGGAAGTCAACTCTGTTACCTCCCCTAAACCTCTGTCAGTGCAGCATCGTTTCCCACTGTCAGCCTACACCATCTCTCCCGTAATATCCTGGGAAACCTATTCTACAGAAGAGCTAGACCCATCATTAGAAACTGAGCTATGGATATTTTTATTATTATTATTAGCAAAGTCAAGAAAAATAAACCCTCCCTAAAGGGAAGGCTGTGCTTCTCCCCCACACTTTACTCCCTGGCCTTACAAACGTTTGAAGCTTTGTTTAATGCCCAAGCAAGCGAGCCGTCCTTACCCCTGAAGGTCAGGTAGCCCCAGGCCTTGCCATGATCCATGTTCTGTAAAGGAAACAAGAGGCGGTTGAGGCAGGGCAGGGGCGGCCGGCGCCGCGGGCCGCGCGCGGACCCACCTCGGCCGTGTAGTCCACCTTGACCTTGGTGATGAGCCAGTCGCAGGGCTCGGGGTGCCCCCCCAGCCCCGAC